CTGAAAGCTTCATCCTTACGGAGATCAGCTTTAAACTCTGACTCTGTGGGAGACCAGCTGGAGCCTGGATGTTCCTATTGGTCCCAGTCAACCAAACCATTATCACTCATTCATAATGTTCTTTATCCTGATGCTTTTAGTCTCGGTGCAACACGAACAGGATGTGACGCAAGGCAGGAAATGATTTGATGTCTTTTGGTGTTTGATTCAAGCAGCAGCTGAGATCCAGTCAAGCTGATGTGTTCATGTTTTTTCTGTTTTTTATTAGAAGTTTTAAAGCAACAAACAGAAATATTGCTCCGAGGTGTGAACGTGTTGTGTGTATCTGAAGAAAACCGAGTCATTTGGGTAAAATCTAGAACATTTCATCGTGTCTCCAGAGRCCTGTCGTCTCAGCTGTCTCTCCCAGCTCCACGCTGCTACTTTACAAGCTTCTAAATGCTCAGTCGCAGGTCCCGACCCCTCACCAGTCCAGACAGGCTCATCAGGCTTCAGAGAAACAAGGCGAGAGAAGATCCCAGCGGGCTCGTTTCCCAGACACTGATAGCAGCCGACAGCCTGCGTGTGGATCACTCTCACACACACAAAGTTGCGCCGAGCTGGCGGGAATATGGAGATAAGGTGCTCTTTATTTAGCAGCATCAACGTGACGGAGCCCAAAGTGTGACATCACTCCTGGCTCTGCAGCTGCTTTATGWGCTCAGCAGATCCAAGGCCAGCAGGAAGCGTCAGTAACGGTGATAAAACCTGAACTTCAGCTCCTCGTGCTGTCACACAGAAGATAAAAACCTCCTCACACTCGTGTTGAAACAGACTAATGTGCAGCGTTAGCAAAATATATTTTAGTCACAGAAAATTCAATTAATTATGTTTCCTTTTATCTATTTCTGGCTTTGCTGGTTCCTGGAAGCTTCCATTGTTGCTTCAGTCTGCACACAGCTAAATCCCTGCTGTGTGTGTGTGTGGGGGGGGGGACTTGTTACAGCTTTATAATCATTTAAAACAATGGGCTTCATGCAAGAACCGTTGGTACGCACAGATTTGTTCTTAAGTTGTGTGTACGAGTGATTTAGGAGAATTTATTCACCAATTTTCTCATTTTCTGAGATTTTCTTTTGATAAGAACAAAATTCAGGAGTGGTTCAGACCTGTGGTATATTTTACCTGCAGTCAGTAGCTGTGTTTCCATTCACCATGAAAATGCACAAATTAGAATTTCAAAAATAAATTTGCTCAATGGAAACACGTCAATTACGAAAAAAAATTACATTTTTCTACAAAATGTTTTTGCTCTAGGATGAGGTGGTTTTTCAGACGTATTGAAATTGGTGTACAAACACACAAACTCCAGACCGAGCTCATGGACATGCAC